ATATTCAAATCAAAACCCTGTTGAAAGTCCATTGAAAATAGTTGGCAAATATTTATGGGATAAACTAATGAAATTATCAGATGATCTAATTTGTTTGGTAAGTTAATATTTTTGTTGTTGTAAAAAAATATAATAATTTTATAGTATTTTAGTATTTACATTTATATTAAACAGCTATTAAGCTAATATTTTTTTTAAATGAAAAATATGAAACATTAATTTAAATAATTAATTTTCATTCTTTTAAAAAATATATCAATTTAATTACTATTAACAACAACAACAACACAAACAACTAAAATTTATTGACAAACTATCAGACTACAGTACATTTTTTTTAAAAAAAAACTGCATAACCACTTTACAGTACATCCCTTATAATATTGTTTTAATAGTGTATAAATGCTATTGTAATGTTTTTAAAAAATAAACTTATCTTTAGTCATGTAGAGTATCAAGTGATTCAGTATGTGAAAATAAACTCAACTATAGTCATGTGGGGTATCAAATGATTCAGTATGACAAGATAAACACTACTATAGTCATGTGGGGTATCAAATCATTCAGTATGACAAAATAAACACTACTATAGTCATGTGGGGTATCAAATGATTCAGTATGACAAAATAAACACAACTATAGTCATGTGGGGTATCAAATGATTCAGTATGACAAAATAAACACAACTATAGTCATGTGGGGTATCAAATGATTCAGTATGACAAAATAAACACTACTATAGTCATGTGGGGTATCAAATCATTCAGTATGACAAAATAAACACTACTATAGTCATGTGGGGTATCAAATGATTCAGTATGACAAAATAAACACAACTATAGTCATGTGGGGTATCAAATGATTCAGTATGACAAAATAAACACAACTATAATCATGTTGGGTTATAAAATCAAGAGTTATCAAATTTTATTTTTAAGAAATTCCAGAAAATTGCCTAGAAAAAAATATCTAAAAATAATCTCAAAAAAACATTGTTAATGCTGTCTACTATATGCTGAGCTAATATAAACTTGTTTTAGTTTCTATTTTTTTATTTATTTATTTTTTGGTTAAGTTATGAACAATTTTTATTTTGTTTTATTTTTTAGTTTTTTTTTTAAAAAAAATTATTGGGTTTATCGACCATTTGCCTTAATTTAAAAAAAACTATATTAATATATAAACATTATAGGTATATATCTATATTTGTTATATATATTTATAATACAATTTTTGTAGGAAAAAAATAGTTATGATTTTTTTTAGAAATTTTTTTATACCAATAGTCCGCCATTTTGATCGGTATTACTTATTAGATATTTTGATGACAAAAAAAAATTTCAATAAATTTTTACTGTAGTTCTCTAATCGCAATCTAGAGTCAGATTTTTTAAAATCATTTTTTAAAAATATTTTGTGTAAAAATATTATAAATAAAACATTATATAAATCAATCAATCAATCAATCAATCAAATAGATCGACGCACGTACTGATGAACGACTAACAATTGGTGAACTGAAAACACGTGCAAACAATGTTGCAATGGCTCTCATAGGCAAAGGGGTCACCAAAGGGGATAGGATTGCATTTTCCGGTCAAAACACTATACAACACATAATATTAAGGTTTTCAGCTAAACTATTGGGCCTAACATTCATGCCATTGAGTCCTACATTCAAGAGCTATGAAGTCTATGAAGAGATTCAGAGCACCGGTACTAACATTATAGTCACATCCAGTGAAGACTATCATAAGTTTGAACGTGTTTTTGATGCTAACAACAACACTAGTAACAGGAATCCCGTCGTAAAACTTGTTGTCGTATTTGATGGCGAACTACAACAACAACAACAACACCAGGATATCAAACATACAACTTATGGACAGTTGTTAGTCGAGGGTAGTCGTATGGGTGGTCAACAAATACCGCAAATACCCTACTATGAGGTCAACACCGATACGGAACCATTGTTTCTGATACATACGTCCGGTAGTACCGGTCGACCAAAGTGTGCAATGATATCGCACCGTACGTTCATTAGTGTGGGACAGGAAATGACATTATTCATATCCTTATTTAGCAACAACACCAACAATACCAGTGCTAAAAACAAGCAAACTGTATGCGCAATGCCCTATCCGTTCGGCCATATAGCGGCTACAGTTTATATACCGTTGCTAATGATATCGGGCGTACAGTTAGTCCTAATGGATGCTGACATCAATGACGATAATCATGAGAAGGACCTACTGTTGATCGAGTCTATTGAAAAATATCGGATCCAAATACTGATGGCTTTACCCAGTTATGGCCGACGACTGATTGACCCGAATTTGGCCCTAAAGTATGACCTGTCGAGTCTTGAGCTAATGATTACCGGTGGGGCCGCCTTTTCCGGACATATTGCCCAACAAATTATCGACACTTATTGTATCAAATTTATTGAAAGTATGAATATTTTATTTAAGTATTTTTTTATTATTATTATTATTATACTAAAGCAATATATACTATATTTGATACAAAGTTTTTAATTTATATATATATATTTTAATATATATATCAAGATAACACTTTAAGATAATATTCTCTGTCTGTTTGTTTTTTTTAATTAATTTTAATTGTATTAAAATGTATTTTTATTCAAAGCAACGTTATTTCTATGGGAAATTTTAATTGTTTATTGAGCACACTGGTAGGTTTTGAGGACAGGTAGGCAGGTGCTGTGTAATTACATTTTACACATGTAATATCATGGTATGAGTCACAGGGCACCGGGAGCTTAGCTAGCTGTGCTAAATTTTTTATATTATATTATATCCTAATAAATGTTATATTAGGTTAATTAGTTGATTGTATAAATTAGGCAGTCATTCAAATTACTTATGATTTATATCTTAAAATTGCCTGACTATACATGCTCCGCGGGACAACCTAGTATATTTTTATAATAATAATATTAATAATTATAATTATTATCAAATCATAAAAAAATTAAATTAATTTTTATATTATTTATTCAAAAAAAAAATTATTAATTAAATTATACTAATCTATAGTTTATTATCATTGTATATCATAATAGCATACGCTATGACCGAATGTTTATGGGTAAGCACTGGTGGAAACATTAACGACAAGTTTGAATCGGGAAATGTGGGTCAAGTGGCACCGGGATGTCAGCTGAAAATTTGTGATTTATCTACCGGTGAGCCATTGGGTCCAAATCAAGACGGAGAGATATGTGTTAGGGGTAACAATGTGTTTATGGGTTATCTGGATAGCGATAATCGTATAAATCTGGAGGCCATCGATGAGGACGGTTGGTATAGGACTGGCGATATCGGTCACTATGACCAAAGGGAACGGCTGTTCCTAACGGATCGGCTGAAAGAAGTGATTCGTATAGGTATTGACAATCATTATGTGAACATAAGTCCCGTCGAAATCGAGATGTTTGTGTTGACTCATCCGGCCGTTAGTGAAGTAGTCGTTGTCGGTGTCAACAATTCGGCCGGTTGTCATTGGCCACGAGCTTATGTAGTCCGCAAACAACAGGGACATACAGTTACCGGTGATGATATTGATAAGTTTGTTGCAGGTATTTGTTTGTTATATTATTATTTTTTTTTTTTGAATTATTATTGTATATTAATTATTATTTAATTATTTTTTTTAGATACGTTAGCCTATACTAAGCAATTGAAAGCCGGTGTTGTGTTTGTCGATACCATTCATCGGACATCCATTGGGAAAGTCGACCGAAAATACTATAGAAATTTAGTTATGAATGAAATATTTGATTAAATAATAATAATAATGGTTTATATAGATATTTTTATTTAAAATAATTTTATACAATGAAAATATCTAAAAAGTCAATTACATTTTTAAATTCAATAATTTTTAATTATGGTTTGAATTGATTTTATTTTTATATTTATCTTTTTGAAAAAACTATGATTTTTTGGTATTGATGGTTAAAATCATAAATAACTACTGTATTAATAAAGTTATAAAAGTTATGATTAATTATTATTTTCTAAATTCTAAAATTAAGATATATTTTAAAGTTATGTATTATTATCTTTATATTTATAATAATAATATTAGTAGTATTAATAATATTATTAATACTACTAATATTATTATTATTATTATTATTATTATTATTATTATTATTATTATTATTATTATTATTATTATTATTATATATACTCAAAATACTGCAAAATTATTATTGCAAATATTATTATTGAAGAAATTTATTACTAATTATACTTTTAAAAAAAAGTCAATTACTACTATTATTACAATTACAATTATTATATATATATTATATTTGATACAAAGGTTTAAGTTTGATTTTTATAAAATTATTTTAATATACTGTTAATACTGCTAACAAGTTTAGCTAACAATACTGCTAATATACTTAGTATATATATATATCAAGATAACACTTTAAGATCTGTTTGTTTGTTTTGTTGACACCTTTTTTAAAAAATTAATTTTCTAGTTAACAATCATATTTTAATTCAAATCTAAAAAATGTATTTTTATTCAAAGCACTGTTATTTCTATAGGAAATTTTAAATGTTTATTGAGCACACTGGTAGGTTTTGAGGACAGGTAGGCAGGTGCTGTGTAATTACATTTTGCTATATGGTATGAGTCACAGGGCACCGGGAGGTGTTAGCTACCTGTGCTAAATTATTATGTTATATTATATCCAAATAAATGGAAGTTGATTGTATAAATTAGGCAGTCATTCAAATTACTTATTTTATATTTTAAAATTAGTAAAAGAATTGCCTGTCTATACATGTTCCGCGGGACAACCTAGTATATTTTTATAATAATAATATTAATAATTATTATTATTATCAAATCATAAAAAAAGTAATTTTTATATTATTTATTCAAAAAAAAAAATTATTAATTAAATTATACTAATCTATAGTTTATTATCATTGTATATCATAATAGCATACGCTATGACCGAATGTTTATGGGTAAGCACTGGTGGAAACATTAACGACAAGTTTGAATCGGGAAATGTGGGTCAAGTGGCACCGGGATGTCAGCTAAAAATTACGGATTTGTCTACTGGTGAGCCATTAGGTGCCAATCAAGACGGAGAGATATGTGTTAGGGGTAACAATGTGTTTATGGGTTATCTGGATAGCGATAATCGTATAAATCTGGAGGCCATCGATGAGGACGGTTGGTATAGGACTGGCGATATCGGTAACTATGACCAAAGGGAACGGCTGTTCATTACGGATCGGCTGAAAGAAGTGATTCGTATAGGTATTGACAATCATTATGTGAATATAAGTCCCGTTGAAATCGAGATGTTTGTGTTGACTCATCCGGCCGTTAGTGATGTAGTCGTTGTCGGTGTCAACAATTCAATGGGTACTCATTGGCCACGTGCTTATGTAGTCCGTAAACAACCGGGACATACAGTTACCGGTGATGATATCGATAAGTTTGTTGCAGGTATTTGTTTGTTATATTATTATTTTTTTTTGAATGATTATTATATCTTAATTATTATTATTATTATTTTAGATACGTTAGCCTATACTAAGCAATTGAAAGCCGGTGTTGTGTTTGTCGATACCATTCATCGGACATACATTGGGAAAGTCGACCGAAAATACTATAGAAATTTAGTTATGAATGAAATATTTGATTTAAAATAATAATCAATAATGGTTTTTTATAGATATTTTTATTGTTAAAATTATTTTATACAATGAAAATATCCAAAAAAAAAGTCCATTACATTTTTTTTAAATTCACTAATTTTTAATTATGGTTTGAATTGATTTTATTTTTATATTTTTCTTTTAGAAAAAACTAAAAAAAAAAGAAAATTATTATTTTTTGTAGTGATGGTTAAAATAGTTAAACATAAATAACTACTGTATTAATAAAGTTATAAAAGTTACGATTAATTATTATTTTCTAAATTCTAAAATAAAGATATATTTTAAAGTTATTTATTATTATCTTTATATATAAAGATTATAATACATAACTTTATTAAATATATTTATAAAGTTTTATTATTAAACTGAAAAGTTAAAAATATTAGTTTTACTTATATATTTGAATTGATTTTAATTTCTTCAAAAAAACTTAAAATAAATAAAATAATAGTTTTTTTTTACAATTATCTATTATATCTATAAATATATAATTTTATTTAACTTTAAAATTAACCACTTTTTCTATAAATTTCATTATTTTTATTTTTTTTTACATAATAAACCATGCTGTTTTTTGAAGTAAATAAATGATATTTTATTTTTATCATTTAATATATTTTACAGTATGCCAATAATAAATGCTAGATCTTATAATAGATCTGGATAATTTTTTGATAAAAATGGCGGCAAAAGTATAAAAAATTAAATGTAATTTATTTTGTTATACTAAATCATTTGATACCATTTTTTAAATTTTTTAATATTTTAAATAATCAATTTAACAGTTTTACATATTTTTACATAAATATTTTTTAACATAGTTTACCAGTGAGTGGTAACATTAATAATACAAATAATTTTTTTTTTTAAAAACCATATTTATAACCATTTTATTATCAGAGAAATAATGATTAGAAAAATCAAATATAATTAGTTATTAATTATAAAAATATTATTTTTTCCATACAATTATAAGAAATTGAATATAGAAATTAAAATTATTTTTAAAAAAATCCTAAACTATAAATAACTTATTAATTAACTAATAGCTAATTTTTTTACAGTGACTTAAAACTATTTTTTTAAAAAAAAAACATTTTTTAACTGAATATAATTAAAATTGAATTTATTTATTTATTTTCAAAATCTTTGATTAGAAATAATTTGTTATTTACTGATTAAAAGTGTAGAAACTAAAATTATTATTATTATTTTTTTTCGTTTAAAAATAAAATTAAAATTTACTTATCAGATCATCTGATAATTTATTTAGTTTGTCCCATAAATATTGTGCCAACTATTTTCAATGGACTTTCAACAGGGGTTTCATTTGTATATAAAATATTATTTTTAATCGCCATAATTAAAATTAGTATAGTTATTATTCTAATTATTTTTATTAACATAAAAAATTAATAAATAAAAACAATTATTTAATTATATTTTAGTTTAAAGTTTGGCTAATTGTAATTTTTTTTAATTAATTTTAATTAACTTATATAAATTATATATAAAAATAACAGCTTGGTTTATTATGTAAAATAGTAGTAATAATAATATTTATAGAAAAAGTGGTTATTTTTAAAACTAAATAAAATTATTTATATACTGTATATATTATAGATTATTGTAAAAAACTGGTAAATATTAATCTATTATTATATTTATTTTAAGTTTTTTTTTTGAAGAATCAAATATATAAATAAAAATAATATTTTTAATTTTTAAAATTATAAATATAAAGATAATAATACATAACTTTAAAATATATCTTAATTTTAGAATTTAGAAAATAATAATTAATCATAACTTTTATAACTTTATTAATACAGTAGTTATTTATGATTTTAACCATCAATACCAAAAAATCATAGTTTTTTCAAAAAGATAAATATAAAAATAAAATCAATTCAAACCATAATTAAAAATTATTGAATTTAAAAATGTAATTGACTTTTTAGATATTTTCATTGTATAAAATAATTTTAAATAAAAATATCTATATAAACCATTATTATTATTATTATTTAATCAAATATTTCATTCATAACTAAATTTCTATAGTATTTTCGGTCGACTTTCCCAATGGATGTCCGATGAATGGTATCGACAAACACAACACCGGCTTTCAATTGCTTAGTATAGGCTAACGTATCTAAAAAAAATAATTAAATAATAATTAATATACAATAATAATTCAAAAAAAAAAAAATAATAATATAACAAACAAATACCTGCAACAAACTTATCAATATCATCACCGGTAACTGTATGTCCCTGTTGTTTGCGGACTACATAAGCTCGTGGCCAATGACAACCGGCCGAATTGTTGACACCGACAACGACTACTTCACTAACGGCCGGATGAGTCAACACAAACATCTCGATTTCGACGGGACTTATGTTCACATAATGATTGTCAATACCTATACGAATCACTTCTTTCAGCCGATCCGTTAGGAACAGCCGTTCCCTTTGGTCATAGTGACCGATATCGCCAGTCCTATACCAACCGTCCTCATCGATGGCCTCCAGATTTATACGATTATCGCTATCCAGATAACCCATAAACACATTGTTACCCCTAACACATATCTCTCCGTCTTGATTTGGACCCAATGGCTCACCGGTAGATAAATCACAAATTTTCAGCTGACATCCCGGTGCCACTTGACCCACATTTCCCGATTCAAACTTGTCGTTAATGTTTCCACCAGTGCTTACCCATAAACATTCGGTCATAGCGTATGCTATTATGATATACAATGATAATAAACTATAGATTAGTATAATTTAATTAATAATTTTTTTTTTGAATAAATAATATAAAAATTAATTTAATTTTTTTATGATTTGATAATGATAATAATAATAATTATTATTATTATAAAAATATACTAGATTGTCCCGCGGAACATGTATAGTCAGGCAATTTTAAGGTATAAATCATAAGTAATTTGAATGACTGCCTCAACTGTTGAATCAACTACTTAACCTAATATAACATTTATTAGGATATAATATAATATAAAAAATTTAGCACAGCTAGCTAAGCTCCCGGTATAGGTATATATTGCTTTAGTATAATAATAATAATAATAATAATAAAAATACTTAAATAAAATATTCATACTTTCAATAAATTTGATACAATAAGTGTCGATAATTTGTTGGGCAATATGTCCGGAAAAGGCGGCCCCACCGGTAATCATTAGCTCAAGACTCGACAGGTCATACTTTAGGGCCAAATTCGGGTCAATCAGTCGTCGGCCATAACTGGGTAAAGCCATCAGTATTTGGATCCGATATTTTTTAATAGACTCGATCAACAGTAGGTCCTTCCCATCATCATTGATGTCATCATCCATTAGGACTAACTGTACGCCCGATATCATTAGCAACGGTATATAAGCTGTAGCCGTTATATGACCGAACGGATAGGGCATTGCGCATACAGTTTGCTTGTTTTTAGCACCGGTATTGTTGTTGGTGTTTTTGCTGTTAAATGAGGACATGAAAAATGTCATCCCCTGTGCCACACCAATGATCGTACGGTGCGATATCATTGCACACTTTGGTCGCCCGGTACTACCCGACGTATGTATCAGAAACAATGGATCCGTATCTGGATTGACCTCATAGTAGGGTATTTGCGGCAATTGTTGACCACCCATACGACTACCATCGACTAACAACTGTCCATATGTTGTATGTTTGATATCCTGGTGTTGTTGTTGTTGTTGTTGTAGTTCGCCATCAAATACGACAACAAGTTTTACGACGGGATTCCTGTTACTGGTGTTGTTGTTGTTATCATCAAAAACCTGTTCAAACTTATGATAGTCTTCACTGGATGTGACTATAATGTTAGTACCGGCACTCCGGACCTCTTCATAGACTTCATAGCTCTTGAATGTAGGACTCAATGGCATAAATGTTAGGCCCAATAGTTTAGCTGAAAACCTTAATATTATGTGTTGTATAGTGTTTTGACCGGAAAATGCAATCCTATCCCGTTTGGTGACCCCATTGGCGATGAGAGCCATCGCAACATTGTTTGCACGTGTTTTCAGTTCACCAATTGTTAGTCGTTCATCAGTACGTGCGTCGATCTATTTGATTGATTGATTGATTTTATATTGTTTTAATAAAAATATTTTAACCAAAAAAAAAAGGAAACTTTAAATAATTAATTTTGAAAAATCTGACTCTAGATAATGTATTTTCTAAAATTTTCATTAAAAAAAATAAATAATATCATCATCAGTACTATCAGTCAAAATGATGTATTATTTTAATATTTTTTTTAAAAAAATCTTTAAATTTAAACTATTTTTTAAATGTATTATACTGTATATGATATATACTAATAATTAGTTATCAATTATATATTTATGCTATTCAATGTTTAATTTTAAACAAATAAAAAATTATAATATTTATATATTTTTTAATTAATTAATTTAATAATTATTTATTTGTAAATTAAATATTTAATTATTTATAAGTTAATATTTTTATTATTTGTAATTATATTTGTAATTTTTAAATTTAAATTAAAATTAAATATAATGTTAAACAAACAAATTGTATTATTTATATTTTTTTAATAAATTTAATAATTATTTATTTGTAATTATATCTGCAATCTGTAATTTTATTATTATTATTATTATTATTTTGAATTTTGTTTTACTTACCAAACAAATTAGATTTTTTTCATCAAAAAAATATATTGAAAATTACAGTAACTATATATTCAGTTAAAACTATACTAATAATATATTAAAGATTTTTTAAAAATTATTTTAAAAATACTAAAATTGAGTTAATTTTTTGTCATACTTTTATTTGATACCCTAAATAACTAAAGTTGAATTTTATTTTAATCAATTATTTTATCAAAGTAATAATTAAATTTATGTTTCATATTTAAAAATTATTTTTATGTGTAAATATATAAAATATTAAAAATTTAACTTACCAAACAAACTAGATCATCTGATAATTTATTTAATTTTTCCCATAAATATTTGCCAACTATTTTCAATGAACTTTCAACACGTATTTCATTTGAATATAAAATATTATCTATAATCGGCATAATTTTTAAATTAGTATAAAGCTATTATATTATAATTATTTTTACAAAAATAAAATTAATAAAAATAACTTTTAAAAAAATTTATTTAAATATATTTAAGCAATAGTTTTGCTGTTTGTAAAAATTTTTTTACTGAAAATATAGATTTAATATTTTAATAGTTTATAACACATATATTTTATTGTTATTAAAAAAAAATTTAATGCCTATTCATTTAGTAACTATTTATTAATTACTAAATAATATTTTTATTTTAATAGAAATACAAAAATTATTTATTGGCTTGCAATATAAAAAAAACATTTAGTATAATTTAATATTTAAATTTGTAAAAATATGTTTACTAACTAAACATATAAATTTTATTAGTTTATAGCATATATATACCGGTAATTTAATTAATTATAACAAATTTGTTAAACTAATTAACGAATATTTTATTTGATGTATCCTTTAGACAAGTTCTTATTGAAATAAATTATTATTATTATTATTATTATTATTATTATTATTATTATTATTATTATTATTATTATTATTATTATTATTATTATTATTATTATTATTATTATTATTATTATTATTATTATTATTATTATTATTATTATTATTATTATTATTATTATTATTATTATTATTATTATTATTATTATTATATATACTCAAAATACTGCAAAATTATTATTGCAAATATTATTATTGAAGAAATTTATTACTAATTATACTTTTAAAAAAAGTCAATTACAACATAATATAAAATTAGTTATAATGCCAGTCAGTTTAGACCTTAAATAAATTTCAATGAAAATCATGATTTATTAAAATCATTATTGGTTTGCAATGTAAAAACACTTATAATACATGAATATATATATATATATATATTATATTATTATTTAATTGTCATTCATAATGAGTTTACGTTTAATTTTATTTGTTAATTACTAAATAAAACTTTTTTTTTTAGTTTTACTAATTATATGGTTTAGCATTTATTATTGGCATACTGTAAAATATATTAAATTATAAAAAAAACTAAATTTTAATTATTTATGTTATAATAATTTAAATTAGTAGAGCTATTATATTACAAATAGCTATTACAAAAATAAATAAATAAAAACAACTTTAAATAAAAAATAATTTAAATATATTTTAGCAAAAGTTTGACTGTTTGTAAAAAATTTTCTAATTAAAAATATATTTTTATTAATTTTTTATTAATTATATATATACTTACATATATTATTATATAATATATAAGTTTATATTATTATTATTACAAAAATTAGTACCAATTAATTCAATAACTAAATCTAAAATAAATAAATAAAAAATAAGTTTAAAATAATATATTATTGTCAGTCATAAAGACTTTAGGTTATATTTTATTTTTAAATTATGATAAAACTTTTAAATTTTACTAATTATTAAGTTTAGCATTGTTTATTCAAAAAAAATTAATTAATTAAATTAAAAAATAATTTGTTAAATTTTAGTAAACATTTAATTTAAAAGTATTTTTTTCAATTTAATTATAATATAATTATTTAAAAAAAACAATAAGATTAATAAAGATAAATTATTATTAATACATATTATATATGGTTTTATAAATTATAAAACACACATAAATACATTAATTATTAAATGAATACATTAAATGAATTACTGTAAAATATATTAAATGATAAAAAAAAATAAAAATGTTAAATTGATTATTTATAATATTTAGCAATCTCATTTATTTACTTTATGTTATTTACTTATTTATAAAATAGATAATTGTAAAAAAACTGTTGTAAAAAATCTAATATTTTATTTATTTCATTAAGTTTTCTTAAAAAAATAAAATCAATTAAAATATATACTTAAGATTATAAAAAAATAAAAATTCTTTATATATTTTTTTTGTTGTTAACGTTATATAAACAAAAATATTTATATGAAAAATTAATTTTATTTATTTATAATCAAATATTTCATTTTTAACTAAATTTCTATAGTATTTTCGGTCGACTTTCCCAATGGATGTCCGATTAATGGTATCGACAAACACAACACCGGCTTTCAATTGTTTAGTATAGGCTAACATATCTGTAGAAAAAAATTATTATAAAAAATTAATAATAATAATAATAATAATAATTAATAACTAATTATATTCATATATATATAATCATATATATATATATAACAAATACCTGCAACAAACTTGACAATATCATCGCCGGTAACTGTATGTCCCGGTTTGCGGACTACATAAGCTCGCGGCCAATGAGTACCGGCCGAGTTGTTGACACCGACAACGGCTACCTCACTGACGGCCGGATGAGTCAACACAAACATTTCGATTTCAACGGGACTCATATTGATATAGTGATTGTCAATACCTATACGAACCACTTCTTTCAGCCGATCCGTAATGAACAGCCGTTCCCTTTGGTCGTAGTGACCGATATCGCCAGTCCTATACCAACCGTCCTCATCGATGGCCTCACGATTTATCCGGTCATCGCTATCCAGATAACCCATAAACAGTTTGTTACCTCTAATACATATCTCTCCGTCTTGATTTGGACACAATGGCTGACCGGTAGATAAATCGCAAATTTTCAGCTCACATCCCGGTGCCACTTGACCCACATTACCCGATTCAAATTTGTCGTTAATTTTACTACCAGTGCTTACCCATAGAAACTCAGTCATACCGTATGCTTGAATGATTAGAGATTATATAGATATAAATTATTATTTATTTTTAAATTAAGTTATCAAAAGTATTATTAATATTTTTTTTTTGAATTTGTTTATCAATTAATATATCGCATAAAAATTAATTTAGTTTATATTAAATATATTATCAATAATTATATTGTAGTTTTCAATTTATAATAATATAAATTTGTAAAATAATTTTAAATAGTAATTATTATTAATATAATATATATAGTAAAATTAATATCATTAATAATCGTTTTATTAACTATTATTAACTTTTATAACTTAAATAATGCAAAAAATTATTTTATAATATATATATTTTAGATTGAAAAAAATTTAATATACTTTACTCAATATTTATAAATTAAACTTTTTTTATAATCTAAAAATTTATAAATAATTTTAAGTTTATTATAAGATAGTTTAGAGATAGCCTAAATTGTTAGGAGATGGGGTGGGGCGGGTAGGGGGTGTGTATGAAATAATAGTCAAATATATATTATCCATACCTTCCTTAAATTTGATACCATATTTGTCGATAATTTGTTGGGCAATATGTCCGGGAAAGGCGGCCCCGCCGGTGCTCATCAGCTGCAGACTCGACAGATCGTACAGTTGGGCGGAATCGCCTTCAATCAGCCGCCGACCGAAACTGGGAAACGCCGGCAATATTTGGATCCGATATTTTTCAATAGACCGGAACAGTAGGTCCTCATCAAACTCGCCCATTATGACCAACTGGGCTCCGGATATCAGTTGCAACGGTATCATACAGGTGCCCGATATATGGCCGCACGGGTAGGGCATTGCGCATACAGTTTGCTTGTTTTTAGCCGCAGTGTTGTTGTTGTTGTTGTCATTATTATTGTTGTTATGTAAGGACAGGAAAAATGTTGTCTCCTGTGCCGCACCAATGAACGTACGGTGCGGTATCATTGCACACTTTGGACGGCCAGTACTACCGGACGTATGTATCAGAAACAATGGATCCGTATCGGTGTTGACCTCATAGTAGGGTATTTGCGGTAATTGTTGACCACTACTACCCTCGACTAACAACTGTCCATATATTATATGTTTGATATCCTGATGTTGTTGTTGTCTTGATTGTAGTTCGCCATCAAATACGACAACAAGTTTTACGACGGGATTCCTGTTACTGGTGTTGTCGTCGAAAACACGTTGAAACTTACGATAGTCTTCACTGGATGTGACTATAATGTTAGTACCGGCGCTCTGGACCTCTTGTTGGACTTCGTAGCTCTCAAATGTAGGACTCAATGGCATAAATGTTAGGCCCAATAGTTTAGCTGAAAACCTCAAGATTGCATGTTGTATAGAGTTTTGACCGGAAAATGCAATCCTATCCCCTTTGGTGACCCCTTGGCCAATGAGAGCCATCGATACATTGTTTGCACGTGTTTTCAGTTCACCAATTGTTAGTCGTTCATCAGTACGTGCGTCGATCTAATAGTATTTTTAGATATATTTTTTGTTTGTTGTAATTAATATTATTATTTTTTCATTAATAAATCAATAATTATAGTATTTTTACATTCAAAATATAAAATCTATTTAAGTTTATTACTAATAAAAAAATAACATAAAATTTATATATATATATATATATATTAGTTTAAAACTTATAACTAGGTTTTTTATAAAAAAAATAAATTTAAATATTATAATATATCACTCTTATTGTTTATACTAATAAAAGTTTAGTAAATAATTTATTTAAACAAATATTAATTTTGAAAATATATTTTCTGATAGTTTGTCAATAAATTTTTAGTTGTTTTATTATAATTAAATTTATATATTTTATTTAATTTTAAAATTACTTAATTATTTTTCTATTAATGCAATAATTTAAATTAAATTATCATATTTAAAAAAAATAAATAGCTGTTTAATATATGTTACTGTAACATACAAAACAAACTAGATCATCTCATAATTTATGTTTTGTTTATTTGTATTTTATTGTTTAAAATTATAAAAAAAACTAAAATTATTATATTTTTTACAAAAAAAAAAATTAACTCACCAAACAAACTAGATCATCTGATAATTTATTTAGTTTGTCCCATAAATAGGCGCCAACTATTTTGATGGGACTTTCAAATGGTTTATCATTTGAATATAAAATATTATTTTTATTTGGCATAATTAATAATTAGGACTACTATTTTTTTCAAAAACAAAAATAAATATATTATTTTTTTCCAAAAACAACAACAACAACAAAATAACTTTTTTAAATATTTTTTTTTTTTGAGCAAAAAAGTTGGCAAAATTTGCAATATTTAATTAAAAATTTAAACAAAATTATTTGCTATTTAAAACACATAGACTTTAATACACACAAAAAAAACTATTTGATCTCAAATTAATTACTAAACATTTATTTATATAAAATATTTATATTTATATAGAAAATTACTTTAATTTTGTTGTTTCAATTAATTTTGTTATACTGTACTTATATATAGTATATACTGTATAATATGTACACAATTATAAATATTGTTTTGGCAAATCAAATGCACATATAATTTATCAAATATATATATATATATATAAATGATAATATATTATCGCATCTAATTAAAATTTGTTTATTTTATAATTTAGCACCTAATTTTTAAAAAAAAATTAATTAAAACTTTATTATCTCAATATATTTATTATATTTAATATATGTTTTACTAAATAATTTTCATAATAGTTATTAAAAAAAAAATTTTTTTGTATAATGTTTGAATAACATTTTATTTTGTAACTATTAATTTTTTGTCTTAATATAATTTGATAATTCAACAAAAAAAAAACATTTATAATCATATTTATGTTATCATATATGATTAGTGTGTATGTATTTATCAACAATTATCTATATAAATTGTTTATCATCAAGGTAATCATCATTAATTATTTTATTTGATAATCATAGACTCAAAATGCACTGGTAGTTATTTTTTTTGGAAAACAGTATTTTGTACTCAAATGTCCACAATTATTGCAATCATTTATTTATTTAAAAAAAATTTTGTTAAATAAGTACAAAATTATTTTTATTGTATAGATATACTAGAAAATTGCTTATTTTAATTTAGTTAATTTTAATTTATTAGAAATTTTAAAAAATAGCATTTATATTTCTAATAAATTTATAATAATATTTAACTTTATATAAAAAAATCTAATTAATTAAGAAAATTTGTTATTATTATTAAAATATTTAATAAATACACAAATGTTTATATATTGTAATTTATATATATTTATATTAACCAACTAACATTTATTAATATTATTAGATTATCTAAATTATTAATAAAAATAATATTTGTTTACAATATTAATAATAAAATAATTTTTGTTTATTAATTAATTTTGTCAATAAATGTTTGTTTAAAACTTTTTGTTTTTAAAAACAACATAAAAGTTATAGTTGTCTAAAAAAATAAATTATTATAATTTTGTTTACTAAAAGTTATAGATTATAACTTATAATATTTGAAAAAATGATATATACAGTTATTTTTTAAATAAATGAATTTTTAAAATATATATATATATATATATATATAAATCAATTAATTAAAAAATGTTGGTTTTTTATAAATAATAAGTTTAGTTAATTATATCAAAAATTATTTGCATTTTTTGAGATTTTCTAATTAAATATTATACAAATATTTGTTATGTATATAAAAAAATTTACTTATTTTTATTGTACAGTTTTTGTTTATTATTGTAATAATTACAGTAATTTTTGATATAATAATAATTGTAATTTACATTCAATATGAAGTAAAAAAATGTATTTTCAAATACATTATACAAATACATCAATAGTATAATAGTTATTATTAATTTTATTTTACAACTCAAGGATATTATATTACAAAAAATTATTATTATTATTATCAATGTATAAATAATTTTATATATTTATATACACTATATATATACTGTATTTGCAATAATAACATTATAATAATAATAAGCTTATATATTAATAGTATTATTATTATTATTGTATAAATAATATTATTTGATATCAACAATATGTTTTTAATTTAAACAGACAAAAATAAAAATATTTTTAGTACGCATATTATAATAGACATAAAAATAATAAACAAAAATAACAATTTTTTTTTTTGTAAGTGTAATGTATGTGTAAAGCTTACCACACAATATATACTGTATATATATATAATTTATGTAGTATTATATATATATATATATTATATAATACAATTTGTATTACTATATACTATATATATATAATATACAGTAATATAATGTAATATACAATTTTAGTATATAGTAATACAAATTATATTATACAATATATATACTGTATATACTGTATAATACTATATAAAAAAATGTACATGCGCATTTCTCAATGTATACATATTTGTGTTTACTTTATATACACTGTATGTGTTATTTCAATAATAATAATAATATACAGTAATTTATTTTTTTTTTGATGGGTGTTATAAAAATATACCCATTAGTTGGCACAATTAGCTGTACCAATGTATTTATATACAGTATATACTGTATAACTTTTAGAAATTAGTTTTTATATATATACTGTAAATTTTAGCTAAAATTTATTTGTTAATTACTTTTTTATCATTAGTTGTAAAATAAATTTATTGTGTAATTGTTGTGTTACTACTAATTAAATTACACAATTATATTATTATATATTAAATTTTGTTAAAAATTTATAATAATAATAACAAAAATGAGCGAGGACAAAATATTACGTTCAAAACATGAGCCAATTATTAGTAAATTTAATGTTACCGGCTCATATTTATGGGATAAATTATCTAAGCTAGATGATAAATTTGTTTGTTTGGTATGTATTATTAGTATTATTATTATTATTTTATAACTTTTTTTATAAATATAATTAATTAAAGTATTAAAGTATTTGATAATATTATTATTATTATTTTTGTTATATAACTATTAATAATTAATTAGGTTAAAGGGTTTCAATCAAAATTTAACAAGATAGTTTATTTTATTTTTTATTTTTGAATATTATATAAAATCACAAATAAATAATAATAATTTTTTTTGAGTTGTTTTTTTTAATTTATAAAAATGTTTTTACAACTCAATACTTATTATTATTATTAACTATAATAAAAAAATTTAAAAATATTAATTAATTAAATATAATAATAATAGTTATTAATAACAGAATCAGTATTAACTAATTATTATTATAATATTGTAAATTAAAAAAAATATAATATTAATTAATTAATTAATTATTTTATTTAAAATAACTAAAAAATAATAATAATAATAATTGTCAATAGATCGATGCTGTAACCGATGAAAGTCTAACAATTGGTGAACTAAAAAAACGGGCCAACAGTCTGGGGGTAGCACTGGTCAATCGGGGGGTAACCAAACGTGATCTGATAGCCATATCGGGTCAAAATTCTATACAACACGCGGTCATTAGGTTTGCCATCAAACTATTGGGCGTAACATTTATGCCGTTGAGTCCAACATTTCAAGCCTATGAAGTGGACAGGGAGGTCAGGGATGCTAACTGTACTATAGTTATGACATCAGCCGAAGATTTACCTAAATTTGATACACTAGTAGTCAATAGTAATGATGATAAACAACAACAACAAGGGTTATCAATAAAACTTGTTGTAGTATTTGATGGCAATTACAACACCGATAACAACACCGACACCGATATGTTTGTAACGTATGACCAGCTGCTGGCCGACGGCCGTGACGATAGACTAACTAAAATACCCTATTTTGATGTACAACCCGATACCGACCAACTGTTTCTCGTACATACATCCGGTAGTACTGGCCGTCCGAAATGTGCGGAAATACCGCACAGGATGTTCATACAGGCAGCTGAGGAACGGGAAAAATTTGTAACCCTAGAGGACACACCCACGACTATCAATTTGCTACCCTACCCCCTGGGTCACATAAGCGGTACTGCTTGGCTACCCATTCAACTGAGTAAAGGTCACCGCTTGATACTGATGGGCCGTTTCGATGAACGGGTATTGTTTCGATCGGTCGAGAAATACGGGATCAATGTTTTGCCAACGTTTCCCAGTTTTGGTCGCCGTCTAATTGAAAGTGATTGTGTGGATAGGTATGACCTGTCAAGTCTACGTGTGGTTAGTTCAGGCGGTGCTGCCTTTCCCGGTAATATTGCCAAAGAGATTATCGCGAAATATGGTGTCAAATTTAAGGAAGGTTAGTTTTTTAAAATTTTTATTTATTTATTTTTTAATAATTTTTTTAATAATAAATACTGTAAATTATTTGTGGAATTTTTTTTAAAAAAAGAAAAAATATTAGAAAATTATTTGAGATAAACTGTTTTAATTGAAAATAGTGATTATAATATGTTCAATAATATAATAATTATATAAATATTAAGTTATAATCTTTTTTTTATACAAAAATCTTTTTATTATTATTTTTATTAAACTAATATTTTATTATTTTTTACTTTTATTATATTTGTTAGATTTTTTTTTAATTATTTTTGATAAACAGTTTACAAAATATTGATTATTATTTTATGTTTGATATAATTATAATCTAAACTAAAGTTTCTAATATATAAATATTTATAAATATTTATTTAAATTATTATATACATAAATGTATATATATATATAATTATATTAGTTTATTTTTAAGTATGTAATTTATTATAATATATAAACATTATTATTACAGTACAGTATTATTATTATTCTAAATAAATATTTTATATTTAATATTATATTTTAATGACTGTAAAAAAAATTTTAGTCTATTTTTATTTGTTTTAAATAATATATTCATAATTTAAAAACAAGATGAACATGATAATTTAAATTATTATTATTTTTTTTAAAAAAGTTAAATAAAATTAAATATTACATTTTAGAAAAAAATAATAAAATTAATTAATTAATTATTTTTCTATATAATAGGCTACGGAATGACCGAATTTCTATGGGTAACCAATGGGTCGGATATTAACGATGACTTTCAATCGGGTAATTTGGGTACACCGGCACCGGGATGTGAATTGAAATTTGTCGACTTGACCAGTGGTCAAGCACTGGGACCCGACACCGATGGTGAACTACTGGTCAGAAGTTTGACGGGTCGTTGTTTTTCAGGCTATCTCAACAACGACAGGGCCTATCAGGAGGCTATCGATGCGGACGGTTGGTACCGAACTGGCGATATCGGTCACTATGACAACAGGGACCGGGTGTTCATTGTTGGACGTATTAAGGAAGTACTCAGGATTGGTGTCGACAATCATTATGTTAATATAAGTCCCGTAGAAATTGAACAGTTTTTGTTGACCCATCCGGCCGTCAGCGAAGTTGCCGTTATAGGTGTCAACAATTCAGTCGGCACTCATTGGCCCCGGGCTTATGTGGTCATCAAAAATGGACACTTAGTTACCGCCGATGATATACAGAAGTTTGTTTCAGGTATTCAATTCAACTAATAGTATTAGTTATTATTATTTAGTTATTATTAATTAATTATTATTATTTATTTATTATTATTTAATTATTATTATTTATTTATTATTATTTAATTATTATTATTTAATTATTATTTAATTATTATTATTTAATTATTATTTAATTATTATTATTTAATTATTATTTAATTATTATTATTTAATTATTATTTAATTATTATTATTTAATTATTATTATTTAATTATTATTTAATTATTATTATTTAATTATTATTATTTAATTATTATTATTATTTAATTAGTATATTATTTAATTAGTATATTATTTAATTATTATTATTTAATTATTATTATTTAATTATTATTATTTAATTAGTATATTAGTTATTTATTATTTAATTATTATTAATTAATTAATTAATTTTTTCAGATACTATGGCTTATACTAAACAATTGAAAGCCGGTGTTGTGTTTGTCGATAGCATTCATCGGACATCCATCGGGAAAGTCGACCGAAACTATTATAGAAATCTAATTAAAAATGAAATAATTGATTAATAATTATCTAAATTATTGTTTGTTTTTTGTTTTTTTTAACAAATTTTGTTGTTGTTGTTGATTGTGATGTGATTTGATTGATATTTTTATCAAAATGTTCAAAAATAATAATAATAATAATAATTAAATTGTGTGCAAAAAAAACAATGTCTTCCATATATATTATATATATATATATATATATTACTAAACTATCGAATTATTTTATAAAAATTATGTTAAATTTTTTGTTATTATTTAAATATATTTTATAAAAATTATAAATTGTTAATATATCTATTATATTTGTTAATTATTATACTAATTATGTTTTTTTTGATATTATTATTATTGTTTGTTTTGTTTGTATTGATTTGCTATGATAAAAAAATAATAATTAAAAATTATTTTTAAAAAAAATATTGTATATTTATTTTATTGGAGAGTATGGATAAAAATATTAACTATTAAATATTAATTAAAATATTTATTAAAAAAAAAATGATTAGTCCAATAACTTATTCATAAGTTTTTATTTCAATAATATTAATATTAAAGTTTATGGAAAGTTAGATAAATTAAAAAAAAATTAACTATTAATATTTTTTAATATAATAGTTATATAGTTTACTATAAATAATATTAACATTATTATGAAAATATTTAATTGTAAATTATTATTTTTTAATAATATATTAATAATTAAAAAACAAAGATAGGCCATTAACTTTTAATTATATTTTTTTTAAAAATTATTTAAATTATATAAAATTAAAAAATAATATAAATTATATAAAATTAAAAAATAATATAAATTATATAAAATTAAAGATTAATAAACTATAATATACTATTCAAGTTCAACATTTATCATATTATAAAACTTATATTTACTATTATAACTTAAATTTTTAAAAATCAAAATCTTAAATGATTGGATAAACATTTTTATTATTAAAAAAAACTGTAAACTCATTATAAATATTATTTTTTATTTAATTATTTAATTATTGACATAAAAAATTAGCTCTTTGTCTTGTCAATATATTTTTTAAGAAAAAATTTTATAAATTTGATTTAATAATTAAATATAAAATATATTATAATATGATTTAAATATTAGTTTTTAATTATATTAAATATAATTAAATAAAGTATAATAATTATGTACTATTATATAATTTATTGTATTAGTATTAAAGTATTATGTATAAACATTACTATTAATTTAGTAAATTATATTATATTTAAACAAATATTTTTATTTATTATTTACTTTTAATGTTTTCATAATTAGTCAGTATTAAAAAAATAATAAATTAAATTATAATCTAATTTTGTTGTTTAAATTCAAACTATTTAGTTGATTAACAATTTAATTTTGTTTAGTTTATATTAGATAATAAAACTAACATTTAATAGTCGAATTTATATTATATTTTAAACTAAAATTATAAATTAAATTATTGATAGCATTTAATTTTCAATATATTTTTAAAAATAAAAAAAATCTACGAGATTCGATAAATTTTTTTTATTTAAATAAAAACTGTAAATTTATTATTATTATTATTAATTTAATTATTTAATTATTGATATAAAAATTAGAAATAGTGAGAAGTCGTATTTTTTTGAAATTTAATTGAATTAAATTAATAGTTAAGTATTAAAAAATATATAATATAAATAATTTTATTTAATTTTATTTAATTATGTTTAGTTAAATTAAATATTTTTTTAATTTCAATATTATAATTATGTACTGTACTATAGTTTATACATTATTAGTGCATTATATAAACATTTCTATTATTAATTAATTACTTATTTACAAAAAAAAACAATTGTATTAAATAAGAAACAAACAAAAATTTTATTTATTAGTTTTTAATTTTAATTAAATAAATATATAATTTTTTTAACAGTTTTTTAATTTTCTTTATTTAAATTAATAATTATTATTCATTAAATTTGAAAATAATAATATTATTATAATTTACTAGAATTTAAATAATAATAGTCATAAAATATTTTTTTAAAAATACTATAGATTTTTATTTTTAAATAGTTAATAATTATTTATAACTATGCTTAATAATTATAAGATAAATTAATAAGTTTTTTTTAATAATTTTTTTATTTTAAATAATATTTAACAATTATATTATTGTCTAGAAAATAAAAGAATTATTATTATATTTTATTTATTGAAAAAACTGTAATTCAATAAACTATTAATAATTAATGTATAATTTATTTATAAATTAAACATTAAATTAGAAATTATCCTAAATACGAAATTAATAATTATATAATAAATAATATTATTTATTTAATTAATATTTTACTAATTTAAATAAACTATTTACTTATAATATATATATATATATATATATTATTACAATTATTATTATATTTATCTATTTGTTTCAGCAAACTATTTGACACATTATTAATACAATTAAAAAACATTAAAAAAAAATTTTTTAGTTAAATAAAAAAATAAAGTTAAGTTGTAATAAAACAAAAAAATTATTGCATTGTAATACAATCTATAAAAAAATTTCAATAAATTATTGACACAGCTTTTTTTGAAAAAAATAAAATAAAAATAAATAAAATAATTTTCAATTAGTTATTCATAAGATATTGAATTACATTTCAAATATTAAATATTATACCATATTTTTTATTATTTTCATAAAAACAATATTATTATCATGTTTTTTTACAAAAAAAATATATAAATAAATATTGAATTTTACTTGAATTAGTTTTACAATAATAATTTTGTTTTAACTTTTAAAAGTATTGTTTTTTAAATAAATAAATATTTATCTACAATAATGTCTAATCTAAATGATATAAATTATAATAATATTAATGATAATAATAATAATAATATACTTACTATTGATGTCGACAGTATTGAACAGTTTATTAGGAAACAACACCAATCGGTAGATGATGTGGCACTGGTAGGTGTCAACAATAGGATAGGCCTACACTGTCTGAAACTGTATGTAGTAATTAAATCAGGTCATACGGTACCCGATGGGGAAATTGAACAATTAGTTTCGAGTATGTATTTTAAAATTGTTATTATATTTTTTAATTTTAATTAATTATTGTATTTTTTTTTTGAAAAAAAATATTAATTAATTAATTAATTAATTACTAATAGTAAATAACTTAAATTATCTACAACTAAATTATTATTACTAAAACAATTAAATAATTAATTAATTACTAATAGTAAATAACTTAAATTATTTACCAACTAAATTATTATTACTAAAACAATTAATTAATTAATTAATTAATTACTAATAGTAAATAACTTAAATTATTTACCAACTAAATTATTATTACTAAAACAATTAAATTATTGTTTCTTGCTTATATATAATAATAATAATTTATAAAGTAAATTATAAATAATTATATATTTTTTTTAAATAATACTAATTTATATATTTGTATATTTATAGAAAAATTTCCTATTATTTTACAACAACTAACTGGTGGTGTCGAGTTTGTTGATATATTGAACACAACAATAATTGGTAATAAAGTTAGAAAATATTATTGTAATATTGTTAGCAGCGATTTAACTGGGTGATATATATATATAATACTATTTTTTTTTATTAAAATGTTTTTATAATTAAAAAATAAATAACCGATCACTTTAACTAAGCAAATACTATATATTTTTTTTACATTGAAAACTATTAATTAAAAAAATATGTGCAAAAATTTTTAATACTATTACTAATTAACTATTATTATTATTTTTATAACTATAACTATTACTACTAATAGATAAACATTTTATTTTGTCTATTATATTATAATTACATAATTGATACATATTGTTAGATGATATTATTTTTAAAAATAATATTTTTATTTAAAAAATAAATTATAATTTTATACAATAAAAAAAATTATTTATTATTACTAATTAATTAAGATAGATAATTAATTTTTTTTAATTAACAAATAAAATAAAATAAAATAAATTATTATTTTCAAGCATAGATAATCAATGATAAAAAAAATATTTTATTAGTCATAATCTCTATCGTATTCATAGTCCTGACACTGTCTCATATGATCCCTGTCTACAGCACCCCGAAAACAGTCGACAAAATGTTGCATAATATTATTGCCATTATGCTGTCCATTGTAGTAGGATGACCAGGTCCTATGAAACTCCCGATAACAATCACGATAACCTACATATTGTTGTTGGTGACCATGATTGTTATTGATATTTGATTGATGCTGATGACCATGGTTATTGTTGTTAGCATGTTGTTGTTGGTGTTGTTGGCTAAAATATTGCCGGTGCCCCAGTAAACGTTTATTATGATCACCGTAGTGTCTATTGGCACAGTTATTATAGCGGTCCAGATCTTTATGTATGTGTTGACAATCACCTTAAAATAAAAATATTAATAAAGTATATAATTAAAATAAAAAATAAATAAATAAAAATATTTTCTAATAGTAATTAATATTTTTTGTTAATTTTTTTTATAATGTTGATTAATACTAAATCTGATATTAATCATCATTTATTTTTTGTTTGTTTTTTACATTTGTCATTATAATTAGTATATTAGTATATATATACAGTATATATATTTAGTAATGTTTTAGTTTTTTTTTTAAATTAATTAATATATTTTTAATTCAAAAATATACATGCGTTATTGAAGCCTTAAAAATTAATTATACTATAATAAACTAATAATATAATTATAATTATTATTTTATACAATTATATAATATTATTTAATTAACTATAATGCAAATAGTTAGACCATATATTAAAAAAAAATATTATAATAATATTTAATTTGATTATATAATAATTAAATAAATTAGACATTTCTAGTTAATAGTATTCTAATTTTTTTCAAAAAAATAATAATTATTATTATAAATACTTTTTAATAGAAAATATAAAAATATACTGTATATATATAATTATTAATTATTTTAATTAAATTATTATAATTATTTTTTTAAAAAAATGTACCTACTACAAAATAATATTCTAGCCCATTGACGTTCCTCATCAGTAAAATGATTGCGCCAATAGTTTCCCCATTGATTTTGTTGTTGTTGTTGTTGTTGTTGTTGTTGTTGTTGTTGTTGTCGACAATTAATTAAATTAATTATATTTATATAAAATACAACAATTAATAACAAGTTTATAATTAATGACATAATAAACAAATTTGAAATGAATTTATTTATTTTGTTTTTTTTTATTAAATAAAAAATACTAATATTATAATTAAATTAAAATGTTTTAATATAGTACAGTATATTTATACTTAAAAAAAACTATTGTATTATAACAAACAATATGTTAATTATATATATATATATTATTTGTTTACTTTAATACAATAATAGTATTAATAGATATAGACTAATGTAATATATATTTTTATCCAGTAAACATTAATATTTAATTACAGTATTATTATTGTGTAAAATACAATTTTTTAAACATATAAATTATATCTGAATAAATATAAAATAATCTAAATATATAATAATTATAAAAAACAAAATAAAAATCAATTAAAAAAATAGGACAATAATATACAGTAATTAGATTTATCATAATTTTAATTATTATTGAATACAATAATATAGTTTTTATATATAATTAATTTACAATTAATGTTATTATTAAATATAATTAACAAAATGTTAATTTAAAAAAAATGTTTATACAGTGCTAAAAATAATAATATAGTTAATTATTATATTTTTAACGACAATAATTAAAAATACACTTATTGGTAATTTCCATGAGTCCATTATTGTATCAGTGTAAAATTGATAATCAAGGTCATCTACAACATTATTATAGTTTATATATATATATTGTAATTTATCTATCTATAAAAAACATAACATGTTTCAAAAACAATTTTAATTTAAAATAATGTTTTTAAAAAATATTATTAATAACAACAATTACATACAACCTTTAAAATAAGTCATAATTATTATTTTTGTTGTTGATTTAATTGTATTGTAGTTTTAATTGATATCAAATTAGTTTTGTGTTATTATGTTTCCATAATAGATAGCAATTAATTTTTAATTAAAATAACAATATCAAATTTACAATAGTTTAATTATATTTAAAAATTATATTCTAAAAAACAAAATTTAAAAATATTAAACAAGATAATACAATATTTTTTTTAAATATTAATTTATATATGTTTATACTATATTTAACTATATATACCGTATATAGTGATGAATTAATTTTATTTATATATAAAATATTTATTAGATGTAATTATTCAACAACAAAAAATACATTTTAAAAATATTATTAATAATTAATTAGTAATATTAATTGAAATTAAACTAAGATTAAATATTTACTTAAACCAATCACATAATTAATTATTAATATTATAAATTATTAATATAGTTATTAATTGTTATTAATTGAGTAAATAGTTAATCTTAGTTTAATGTTAATTTTTAAAAAAAAACTTAAACAGTACTTAAATAATATAGTTAATTATATTTTTAAAAACAATAATTAAAAATACACTTATTGGCAATTTCCATGAGTCCATTATTGTATCAGTGTAAAATTGGTAATCAATGTTATCAATATTATCATCATTAATGCAATTATAATAGATTTTATTAATATCTTGATAAATAATATAATAATAAAAAAATATTTATTAATTAAATATAAATTAAAATAATTTTAATATTATTATTATCAACAACAAAAAATAAATAAATACCTTTAAAATAATTCATTATTATTTATTATGTGTTTTTATGTAGTTTTTTATTTTATTTAAATACTAGACAATAAATGATTTAATAGATTGTAAAAAATTTTTATAATCATAATAACAATATAAACATATATTTTTTTAAAAAATAATAAAATACAACATTTCTAAAATATTTTTATATCAAAAAAAATGTTAGTATATTTTTTTGTAAAATAATATAATACTAAAAACAAGTTTTATTATTTTTTAGTTATAATTTTTTTATATATATATAATAAATAAGACAATGATACAACAAAACTTTTTAAAAAATAAAACAAATATTTTATTTATGAATATAAGGAATAAAACATTTTTGTGTATATTTTATTATAATTTATTTTTTGTGTGTAATATCCTGTTATTTATTTCTATATAATGATGCAATCAATTACATACTAATCAAAAATTATTTGTTTGATTGATTTAAATAAAAAAATAAATATTTATAAATATTTAATTCAAAAATAATATGTCAATTGTAACTTTATAGTTTTTTTTATAAAATAAATTAATTAATATCAAACTTAAATATTAGGGAAATAAATTTTACAATATATAAATAAAGTTGTTATAAAATTATAACTATTATTTACATACAATCAAATACAATAGAGTATTATTTAGTTTTGATTTAATCAATCAATTAATATAATGATATATTGATTGTTTACTAGAATATTGTTTTTATTTAACACTATATTTAATATAAAAAAATGATAAAAATATAAATATTATATTTAAAAATTGGGTAATTTTAAATCTTTTTTTTTAAATATAAAAGTTAATAAACTGTATAATTAAACAATAATTTTAAAAATATTAATTTTACATAAAATTACATAAATAATTTCGATTAACAGAAATATCAGAACTAAATTATTAATTATATAATTTTATTTTTAAATAAATTATTTGACTAATTAAACTAAAAAAATAAATAAAACTAACAAATAAAAAAGTAAATTTAACTTATGTGAATATAATGAAATTATTAAACTTTGAATTTAAACCTAAAATATTTATAATTATAATTTATTATTAAACATAATAGTTTATTTTTAGATTTTTTTTTTGATTAAAATTTATAATTAGTTGTTAAACTGTGAGTAAATTATTGAAGCAATTTTTTCATAGTTATATATTAGTTAAAATTTATTTCATAGTGATTAAATATATGAATAAGAAATTTTTACAAGATTTAAATTTTTTAAAATCTACTTTTAATTGTATATTTATATCTCAAATTCATTAGTTATTTATTGTATAAATAATTAAAAATATTTATTTTATTTAAATTTTAAAAAATTATTTAATAGTCATTATAATAATTTAAATATTAATTAAAATAATAATTTTTCATCTTTGGGGGAACTAAATGCAATTAAAAATATTATTTATTTATAAAATAATTTACAATTAAAATAATATAACAGTTTGTTTATTTAAATTAAAATATAGTTAAACAATGTTTAGCCGTTATACAATAATTTATTTTAATTTTTGTATTTATTAAATATTTTTTTTAAACTGTTTAGAAAATATATAAAATTAATTTATAGTTTAAATAATTAGTTTTATATTATATTTATAGCATCAGATAACTACATGTATTTTTATTTAAAAATCTAAAACTAAATTAATTAATTATTTCTATAATTTTAATTTTTTTTAAATGTTACAATTAAAAGTTCAATATTATTCAAAAAAACAAAATTATAAAATATTTAACAAAATAATACATATCTAAAAAATAGTAAGTTATATATACACTACAACTATAAGATATAGTGATAATTTAATTTTGTTTACATATAAAATATATATTGTTATTTAAAAAAATAATTAATTTTTATAAAATATTTAGTAATCATATTTGTAATATTATTTAAACTATAGACCAATTATAATAATTAATTTATTAAATATTGTATTATTATTATTAATTAATTAATAACTATTTACTAAAAAAAATTAGAAAATTTATTATTAATAATAATAATAATCCATTAACTGATAGATTCATTGAACTACTACTATAAAACAATAATATATTATTTGAATTTCTCAAAACAATATCCGATTGATTATGTATATCAACCAGGGCCAATTTACATTTAAAATTACCTTGAGAAATTTTCGAAACATTCAAGGCAACCAGGGTAATTTTATTATCCGATTGTGAATCCAATTTAATTGTATCTTTGTAAAAATAATCGGATTTAAGTTGTGTTTCTAAAAATTTTTTAAAATAAAAAATTATAAATAATTAAATGAAAAAAATTATAAATAAAGAAATAAATATAATTATAAATAAATAAATAAAATTATAAATAACAAAATTAAAAAAAATATAAATAACAAAATTAAAAAAAATATAAATATATAAATATAAATTATAAATAAAAAATTATAAATAAATAAATAAAAAAATTATAAATAAATAAATAAAAAAATTATAAATAAATAAATAAAAAAATTATAAATAAATAAATAAAAAAATATATAAATAAAAAATAAGATTTTTTTAACTAATATACAAAAATTAGATTGAAAAATAATTTAAATTTAAAAAAAATATTTATAAAATATTAACTTGTTCCATTTGTTAGATAAACATAATAATTTTGTTCATCATTATCACCATTATCAGCATTAGCATCATTAGCATCATCATTATCATCATCTAATTGTGGCGGTTCGGTATTTTTTAATTGACTAATTGAAAAATATATTCCATCTAGTTTTCTAGTTTTATCCAAACTAGTTAGATTATATTGACACGATATTTTTATATTGTCACGGTCTAGAAATTTGTTACCATCTTTAGGCAATTGTATTGTTTCGTCAATACGTTCTAAAGGAAAATAAGATTTATTTTTTAGTTATTTTTTTATAAAAAAAATTAAAAATTATTTAGTAGTTCAAAAATAACAACAACAAATAATAATAATAATATTATTATTATAACTTTTTTTTAATAAACTAAAATATTTTATTATTGCTAATCAGTCTATTATTTTTAAATAAAAACTTTTTTATTATTAGTAAACTAAAATATTTTATTATTATTAATTAGTCTACTATTTTTATAACTAATTTATATTAATACTATTATATAACTTTATATATATGTATTTAATAATAGATACTATTTATATATATATATACTCTGTAAATAAGTTTTCTAATGTTGACTTTATATACAGTTTTTAATTTTATATTATTATTGATTATACACTTAATAGTATTGTGCACTCACAGTAAAATCATTAATATAAAATTATTATTATTTAAAGTTTTAATAAAATTTTTTTTTTTTTAAATAATAATAAAAATAATATTTACCAATATCGTACGGCACTGTCACAGTTTGTTTACTATCAATATAGACATCACCGGGTATTTTTGCCCGGGCACTACATTTGAACGTATTGTTAACAAATGCAGTCATATTACCGGGTTGGATAATTATGTCAATATGATCGGGTCGAAATGTTAACGGGTCTAGTTTGATACTTTTTTCATTTTCAATGCCCATAACATTTGTGAATGTTACATTTTCTATATATATATTTATTTAAAAAAAAAATAAATAATTATAATAAATATTAATAAGTTTTTATAATTTTTCAATTTGAAAAAAAATTATTTATATTTTAAATATTTATTGTATAATTTTTTCAAAAACAAAAATTAATTTAACAAAATTTTTAAATAAATTTCTATCTAATGATATCACTAAAAAATATACCTAAAAATATATTTATTTTTTAATAATATTTAATTAATGAATAATATTACAGTTAGTTTTATAAATTTAAAAAAAATAATAATAATAATAGAAAATTTATTTATTTATTTAAAAAAAATAATTAATAATTATTTATAATTATTGATTATTTATATATCTATTTTTACTAAAAAATATGTTTAATTTTTATTTTACTACAAAAAAAATGTTACCTTTATTATTGATCTTATATTTATGTTTAATAATATTTAATTAATAAATAATATTACAGTTAGTTTTATAAATTAAAAAATAATAATAATAGAAAATTTTATTTATTTATTTATTTAAAAATAATCAATTATTATGATTATAATAAAATATGTTTTATTTTTATTTTACTACTATCAAAAAAAATTGTTACCTTTATTATTGACAAAATCAAACGTAAAAAACGGATCATCCGTTTTGTTGTTGACATTGAATTTGATCATGGTAATTATATTATCGTCACCGTGACCGGCATTTTGGGCATCGCATGTCAATCTGATTAGTCTATCCTTACCATAGTAGGCATCCTCACTGTACAGTATATCGACTTTAGGTGGCAATGCTAACTGTCCGATTGATATACTAATTGTACTAATATAGTAGACAAACTGTACAAGGTACTTAATTGAAAACATTATTATGCAATATACAAACAAAAAAAATTATTATTATTATTATTAGCAAAAATTATTTATTACTTATAATAATAATAATATTAAGTTATTTACAAATTACGAAAATTATGTTTATTTATTTGATATTTATTTTTGTTTTAGTATTACATTTTGTATTGAAATAAAATATATTTTTTTCTTAATACTTATTATTATTACTATTATTAATATTATAATAATTGTTGATTAAATTTATTTTTTATCAATACTTAAAATACTTGAAATGTTTTATTATATATATATATATACTGTATATTATATCTTAAATGTCAATAGGATATAACAAATAACACATTTTAACGTTACTATACTTGTTTTATAATAGCAATAATAATGTATTATTATTATTATTATTAATATTTGTAATGAAAAATATATAAGCAATGTTTATAATGTCTAAAAATAATTGTAATAAACAATTAGTAAAATATAATTATTAATTTTTAATCTGTGTTAATATTGGCTTAAAATATCAGTATAAGTTTTACAAAACATTAATTTAATTAATCAGGTTTATTTTACAGTTTTAATTTTCAAAGAAATTAAATCATTAAAAAAATTAAACTTATAGTTTTATAATTTAATTAAAAAATGTTATTATTATTATTACTGTATATTTATTAATTAAAAAATAAATATTTTTATATTAGTTTATATTAATTAACATATTTGTAAATAAATATATTTAATTATTTTTTTTGTATAAAAATATATTTATAAATTATAATCTTATATTATTATTATTACTGAATTATCTAATCAATTAAAATATTAAATTACACACATATATCATATATATTGAATGCAATATTTATTTGTATTAATTATAATATTATTTTATTTATCAATATTACAATTAACCTAAACGCATATTTATTTTATTTTATTTTATTTTTAGTTTAAACACCAGATTTATCTCTAATCCAATCGCGAAAATACCCGACCCGGGCATAGACACCCGGGTAATGGGGTAGACCACAATCTTTACCCCATGAAACTACCCCAACAAGTAGTCCATCATGTTTTATAGGTCCACCTGAATCGCCCTAATTAGTTAAAAAAAACAAAAAACAGTGTATAATGTTAGCTGATTTTTTTTATCTACCTGTGCTTATATACCGGTACATATTAATAAAGGACAAATAGAAATTTCTAGTAAATTTCCCCCATTGAGAAAATTTCTAGTAAATATCCCAAAAAAATTAATTTATATACTGTAGATATTTTAGATATACTGTAGACATTAGTATTATTACTATAGGATAACTATATATATAGTTTTGTAAAAAATTTATTTAAAAAAGTTTAATATAATAAAAAACAGATTATTTATTTTTTAAAAATTTTAATCATTAATTAAAATTATATTATTATTTAATTATTATTTCCTAATCAATAATGTATTGTTAAAATATTTAAAATAATAAAACATAATAAACATATGGAAATTTCTATAATTACATAAAAAAAATTTAAGGAAAATTTCTAGAAATTTCTCTATTATCTCTATTAATTTTTTTTTGACAACACTATATATATATATATACATACCTGACAGGCATCCCGACCGCCCTCATCATAACCGGCACACAGCATCCGATCGGTTACCTCATGAATATCTAGTAAATCATCGGCACATACCTGCCGGTCGACTACGGGTACGTCAACAGTCATCAGCCTATCTGATAGTACTTCAACCTTATAATCCCGATAACCCCAACCGGTAACTGTTAGTACGGTTCCCGGATCGGGATCCATGTCCTGGTCGGGTAGTCCTATTTTATCCAGATCAGGCGTACCCAATGGTATATCATCCGAAACTTTTACCAATGCTATATCATAGTCAAAACCGTCAAATTGATCATGCTCAATTACTTGGCTGACCTTGAAATCTAATCCCGGTTCCCCATAAAATAGTGTAGCGCATCGTACAGATAATATATCATGGTCACTTGATGAATTTATAATTAAAATTTTTTTTTGTAAATAAATATGTGTATAAAAAAAATTATTTTAAAAATAATAATATAAAAATTTTTTTAGTTGTAATAATTAAGTAATAATTTATTAATAATATATTGTATATACTTCTATCATTAAATTATTATTATTATTAAAAATATTATTAATATTTAATATATTTTAATAGTTATTATTTAATAATATTTAATAAAAATAATCATCTAAATTATTTTTTTATATTATACAATTTTACAAATTTTACAAAAATACAAATATAATAAAAACTAAATAATACAGTATATATTTTACAGTTTTAGAATAGAAAAATAATTTTATTTTTAAAAAAAAAATTAATGTTAAAACTAATAGCAAGTTAGCCAAATAATATTGCTATTTTTTAAAAACAATTATTATTATTATTATTAATAAATGTCATTTAGATATTTGATCCAGTTAAATCAACCTTGATCATAGAAACACATTTTTTAAATGACTTAATTAATTTATATGTAATGTTTTATATTCAAAAAATAAAAATATTATTACAATATTTAAAAAAAATTAAAAATAGCCAAAACAAGGAAACTATTTATTTAAAAAAAATATTATTAATAAACCAACTAAATTAATAGTTATTAATAGTTTACAGTTTATTTTTTCAGTGAAAATATTTAGTTATTTATTTTTATTTTATTTTAAATAAAATAATTTTTAAAAATAATAATAATTATTACTAGAATAATAATTAATAAATAATAAACAAAATTTTAGTTATAATAATTAATTAATAATGTATTAATAATATACTGTATATACTTCTATCATTAAATTATTATTATTATTATTATTAAAAATATTATTAATATTTAATATATTTTAATAGTTATTATTTAATAATATAGTTAATATTTATATATAGTATAGTTTTTTTTAGATTAAATTAAATAATTTTATAATTAAATTACAAACTGTATATATTTTAAAAAAAATTAATTATTTTAACTTTAATAGACATAAATATATATTGGTTTTTACTAAAAAATAAACTTAAATTCTTATATTTTAAAAAAAAAATAAAGTTTAATAATAATAATAACTTTAATTGAATACCAAAAATTAGTATAAAAGTTTCAAAATTGTATATTTATTTTTATTAAAGAAAATAAAATACTAATTATTTTTTGTCAAAATTCCTTTAAGATATTAAATAATATATTAATTTATTGATAATATTTTAATCTATTATATAATAATAATAATAATAATAATCAATTAATATTATAGTTACCCAGGTATACAATGAGCAGCCGTTAGCAACCAGTTAGCACTGATAATACTGGCACCGCATTTATGCTGTCCGTCCCAACGCAATGAACATTGATGTGGATTATCTCCGGCCTGGGCTTCGGTACCGCCTATTATAAGCGGACCCTTATTATTGGGGACAGTTGTTGTTGTATTAGTATAGATAGTATTATTATTATTATTATTAGATAAATTTATTATTGTTATTATTGTTGTATTTGCAACATGGTTGTTTTTATTATTAGTATTAATTGTTGAACAATTAAATTGGTGTATAATTGATAAAATTATTGCTAAAATTAATATATTTACAAAATAATACATTATTATTACTATTAATTAATTATTGTTTTTTAAATATATAATAGTTATTATTTTAATATTATATAATGTTTTATAAATTAAATTATATTTATTTAATTTTTTTATATTAAATTTGTTATCTAATATTAATAATACTATTTATATACTGTATATAAATTATATAATATATATATATATATATTAATACTATGCAACTATCGATGATTTATTAATTGTTTGATTAATTAAATATAATAATAATTTCAATATACGATATCAATTACTTTTATTTAATAATATTATCAATATTTTTGTCATTTTTATTATATTATATATATATATATATTTATCAATATTAAACATAATTTCTATTATACATTGCAATATAAAAATTACTTTTATTTTATGTACCTTATATTTTTGACACTAAAATTTACAAAAAAATGATAATATTGTATTATAAAGTTTTTAAATAAAATGATATATCGATATATATATATATTAATACATTATATTGTAGTTAATTGTATTATATTGAATCAATGTTGATATTAGATAAAATAATTATTATTTAATAGTTAAGTTTATTTTATAAAACAACTTAAAAAAAACTTTGAATATATTGATTAAAATTTATATGTTTAAAAATTACTAATAAATTTATTCAATTAGTTTAATCAATCTTTTAATAATTAATCAGTAATAATATAATAAATGATAATAATTTTAGTAAAATGTGAAAAATTAAAATTATTAATTAAGTATCTAAGTTATTAATTTATATATAATTTTTTTTTAAAAAAAATATGCGCATACAATCCTTATCGAAATTATTTAATTAAACAAATATTTATTAACTATACTATAAACTAAATAATATATTTTACAGTTTTAGAAAAGAAAAATATTTTTAAAATATTTTTTTAAAAAAATTAATGTTAAAACTAAATAGGGTATTCCTATAATATTGCAATTTAAAAAAAAACAATTATTATTATTATTAAATGTCATTTAAAGATATTTGATCCAGTTAATCAACCTTGATCATAAAAACATATATATTTTAAATGATTTAATTAATTTATAAGTAATTTTTATATTGAAAAAAATAAATATTTGAAAAAATTAAAATGTGGCCAAAACAGTAAACCTATATATTTGAAATAGTTATTAATAAATCAAATAAATAAATAGTTTATAATATAGTTTACAGTTTTTTATTTAAATGAAAATATTAGTTATTTATTTATTTATTTTTATTTTAAAGAAAATATTTTTTTAAAAATAATTTTTTTTATTATTAAATTATTATTAATAAATAATTATTAAATGCCACTAATCTGTTTGATCCAATCCCTGAATAGGCCCACTCTTTCATAAGCACCGGGATAGTTGGGTTGGGCACAGTCGGCACCCCACGAAACTATACCAACCAATGTATTTTGATATTTAATAGGACCGCCAGAATCACTCTATTTAAAAAAAATATAAAAATAATTTTTAAAAATAAATATTAATAAATAAAAATAATTAGCAATGCTAAAAATATAATTAGCATGCTAAAAATATAAATAATTAGCATGCTAAAAATATAAATAACATGCTAAAAATATAAATAATTAGCATGATAAAATTAAAAATAATTAGCAATGCTAAAAAGCAAAAATAATTAGCATGCTGAAAATATAAATAATTAGCAATGCAAAAAATATAAATAATTAGCAATGCTAAAAATAAATAGTTAGCAAGCTAAAAAGCAAAAATAATTAGCATGCAAAAAATTAAAATAATTAGCAATGCTAAAAAAATATTTATTTTAAAAAAAAACAAAAATAACTAACTGTGCAACTATCTTTACCACCTTGGTCATAGCCGGCACAAAATTCATCCTGGGTAACATTCATTTTATTACGTTTATATGCATCGACACATTTCAGCCAATCAACTACTGGTACATCAACTGTACGCAATTTTGGCGACAGTTTACGATCAGTCAGATTATAGATACCCCAACCGGTAACTGTCAATAGACTACCCACGGTTACATTAGATCCCGGAGCTGCCAGTTGTATTTTATCCATATCAGGGCTGCCTAGCTGAAATTTACCCTGAATTTTCAGCAGGGCCAAATCATAATGATAACCGTCAAATTGTTTGTGTACACTGAGGTCAGTTAGATTATAGTCCCGGCCAGGTTTGGCATGTTCAAGTGTAGAGCACCGTAAGTATAGGGTTTTAGGTGTTTCCCTAAATTATATAATTATTAAACAAAATAATTTCTATTATTATTATTATTATTATTTACCCGAAAACACAGTGTGCAGCCGTTATGGCCCACTGGTCACCGATGATTGAAGCACCGCAACTGTGACCCGACCCGCGCACCTGTAGTGAACACATGTGCGGATTGTCGCCCCGTTTGGCATCAGTACCGCCGATAATGTTTGACTTACTGGGTATACAACTAACTATAGCTATTGCTATACATATAACTAAACTAATAATAATTATTATGTTAATAGTTTTGATTAACATATTTTTAAATTGTTGTGCCTGAGTTTGTATGTTTGGACACAACTTCGAGGAATAGGAGAGCACCGGTTGTTATGCGTGGGTCGGTATGAGGCCTACAACCGATTATCAACCAATTCCTTATAGATTATCACCTGAAGGGTCGGTATGAGACCTATCGGATGATAAAAGGGTAGATCACTTGCAGTAGTGGTGGCCAAGCGTAAAGCTAGAGCTGATCCCAATCTGGATGTCTGTACTATCTCTTGATATCACGCGATACGGAACGGTAGGTTAGAGTTGATGGACAACCGGGTTGTATGTATGTCTTTAATGATGTGAACAACCGGTTGGACTCTTGAAGTGATAGTTTCAATGATGATAATAGCGATGGTAATGAATCGTATGATTAACACAGGTATAAGATAATTATAACAATTTATTGATTAGTTTAAGACAATTGAGGATACAATGGATTGTATGGTTAAAATGGTGCTATCAGTGGAGCACATGTATGATGTGAGTACAGTATGATATGTGAGAGTCAGGTATGACTGTTGTGTATGACGGCTGGCACTGTACTAAAGTATGTGTATACTGTAGTACAGTATTTATAGTGTTTGAGAGAGGACGGGTAGTTATAGGGAATGGTTAGCTATCATTGGATAGTTTGAATGTGGGAACCGTTGAACAGTTAGTTTGGTGCCAGAGGTCTGAGGTCAGCAACCGGTAAGTATAAGGAACTGTATAACCGATTGAAAAGCAATACTAAGAATTTAGCACAAAAATAGGATATAAAATAAATGTATACAAATTATTGGGAATTTAAATACAAAAATACTTTATAACTAAATTAGCTTAAGGTAATGTAGTGGACACTACAAAATAAAAAATTATTTTATGTTTGAATTATAATTTAAGTCAAATAAAAACATATACACACAAAATAAACTAATTTGTAAAACTAATAAAAAAAAATTATTATTAATTAATAGTCTAATGTTATAGAGTTTTATTTAATATATATATATTAAAATAGTCATTAAAAATAGTTTCTATTTTTAACAAACTATTTTAACGAAAACAATTTTAGTATACATGTATAACACACACACACACATACAGCATACCATTCCTTGAATGGTATTGTTATGTGTACTGTGAGTGAAACTCCACCCGTACTGATCGTCCAACAAAACTGTTGGGATCAGGAGTTCCCGATCGAGTAGAGGATTAGCAGTGTTGTTGTAAACATGAAATGATATGTAAAAATCTAGTATGAAATAAAAGTTAATAAATAAATTGTATGTAGAATATATGTGTCATTATTATTACTATTAATTTTGTTTGAAATTAAATAAAAATCAATTACAACTGAAGAAGCGATTCCAACTGAAGAGATATCAACAGTTGAAGACACGATAACTATCACTGAATTGATCCCAACGGGACTGCAGTCGACATAATCAGTAAGAAAAAGATTATTAAACCAAAGAGAAAATCAATTACAACTGAAGAAGCGATTCCAACTGAAGAGATATCAACAGTTGAAGACACGATAACTATCACTGAATTGATCCCAACGGGACTGCAGTCGACATAATCAGTAAGAAAAAGATTATTAAACCAAAGAGAAAATCAATTACAACTGAAGAAGCGATTCCAACTGAAGAGATATCAACAGTTGAAGACACGATAACTATCACTGAATTGATCCCAACGGGACTGCAGTCGACATAATCAGTAAGAAAAAGATTATTAAACCAAAGAGAAAATCAATTACAACTGAAGAAGCGATTCCAACTGAAGAGATACCAACAGTTGAAGACACGATAACTATCACTGAATTGATCCCAACAGGACTGCAGTCGACATAATTAAGATAACAACAGTTGAAGATACTACAGCTGTCACCGAATCAGTTCCACAACAAACTGCGGAAACTACTCAATAGCTATCGTGTCAATACAAAGTCGGTCAATAATTACCGTCGGTAAAAGTGAGTTGACTATTTAATAGTAGTATACACTGAACTATGTATTGATAAATAATTTCTATCTAAGTAGTATACACTGAACTATGTATTGATAAATAATTTCTATCTAAGTAGTATACACTGAACTATGTATTGATAAATAATTTCTATCTAAGTAGTATACACTGAACTATGTATTGATAAATAATTTCTATCTAAGTAGTATACACTGAACTATGTATTGATAAATAATTTCTATCTAAGTAGTATACACTGAACTATGTATTGATAAATAATTTCTATCTAAGTAGTATACACTGAACTATGTATTGATAAATAATTTCTATCTAAGTAGTATACACTGAACTATGTATTGATAAATAATTTCTATCTAAGTAGTATACACTGAACTATGTATTGATAAATAATTTCTATCTAAGTAGTATACACTGAACTATGTAGTGATAAATAATTTTATCTAATAAGTAGTTGCAACGGGTTGTAACACCCAATGAATACTACTAGTATTACTAGACCGTTACATAGATTCTATTTTCAGAAGTAGGGGATGATAAATTCCCAAAAGCCCCACATTTTAATTATTGGTTTTAATTTATAATTTGAAATTTATTATTATTTATTTGACTTAAATGTATTTTGCTTTTATGTTTTATTATTTGCTTCCCTTGACTAACCCGGGCAGTTGTGCCCTGGGCCGGGTGAGTAGCCCTGGCAGTCGAGGTGTATCCGAAACAAAAAACCTATCCTTTTATTTTATGTTTTTATTTTCTTTAAATTTATATAACGATTTAATTTAATAATTTATAAATAAGTATATGTAATTGTGAATTACAATCGGCCGTAGTAGTTCACTTTTGATTTACTTGTTAAATATTAAGCTAAAAACACTTGAGTATAGTTGCTCAATCGAAACAAACCATTCCACGATTTAATTTTATTATCTTATCAATTAAGTTATCTAACCGGTTCACTTCAATTATTTTATTATACTAATTTTAGTAATTAATAAGGCCTAGTGGTATACCGTCGTTGATATTGGGCTATAATTTTATAAGCATCATAATGTATAAAACTATATTATTGGAAGGGAATATAGGGTCAGGAAAGACAACCTTTAGTCATTATTTAAGTCAATCTCAAATAGCAAACAGACTTTCTATACATAATGAACCTATAGATAAGTGGAGAGACCTAAACGGCCTTAACTTATTAAAAGCCTACTATAGGAAACCTGAAAAGAGAGCCTTTTTATTTGAAAGTTATGTTGCACTTACAATGATTGACCATCACCGAGCGTTGCCACGTGATGGTAGTGACATTAAGGTTATGGAAAGATCGTATTTCTCCGCGATTCGCGTCTTTAAACCCACACTTGTTGATCAACATCTCATGTCTAATTATGAGAGCGAGGTGTTTGATGCTATAGTTAATGAACAGTTATCTCAATATGCGGACGCCTTGAAATACGATCTAGTAGTTTATATTGAAACCCCAATAGATAAACTCACAACCAATATATATTGTCGAGCGCGGGCCGAGGAGAGTGGTTACATACGTGTCCCTTACCTCCTTGAGCTTAATCATTATTATAACCAATGGTTAGAAAATCTACCGGAAAACATACCGGTTATTAAGGTTATGAATAATTCAACCAGAAAACAATTAGAGTTAATGACTCCTACATACGCCGAGTCCATTGTTAAAGCACTTGACATTTAAGATTGCTGTGAGTAGGCGACCCGTGTGACGGCACTGCTGGGCGTCCGCTTCACAACTTATAAATGTTAGGTGCAATTTGTGTGTAGTATTGTGTATTCTATTGTGTGTGTATGTAGTATCTGTAATATGCTTAACACTAAGGTATACTTAGGTGTTTTCGGTGAAAACAATGCCGGTCACCCGATGCTATACCTAACATTTTATGCTTTAATTATTTTATATATTAACATTTACATATACACCAACTAACATGATGTTAATATTCAACAGTATACAATGTCGGGCCTATATGACGATAGTAGCTACAGTAGGGATTCATTGTCTAGAGTTGAAGAACTAATACGTGACAAATCAGAAAAGACAAACGTGATAACCTATATATTTACACCTAATGACCGACGTTGTCTAGAAGCCATCGAATGCGTGAGATGTAGAGGGAAATTTATTGAACCGGGTTTATATTACAAACATTTGGTTTACAAACATGATTTTAGCGCTTTCCAAGCACACAAATTTATTGGTGAAATGCTACATCGCGGGTTTGAACCACCAATAATTTGTAACAACTGCAGCGAAGAATTCTATGATTACACAAAACTACATAATCATCAAGTTGAAAGTAGGCACTGCAATGATGAGCTAAATGTTATGAAGTTACCGGACAAGAAGAGAATAAATAGTCCATTCTATAAAAACAAAGTCCCAATTGTCTGTCACCAGTCTAATAATACTCACGGTAACACTTTGCTTCAAACATTTACGACTACTAAGTATAGTGGCGACAATAATTGGCCAAAATTAATACAAACTTCTTTTGCGTGCAATGACGAAAACTGCAGCAAAGTATTTCATACTATAAAAGAACTAAATCAACACGGAAAACTAGAACATGGCACGTGTCATAAATGTGATGAGACATTTATAAATCAAGAAAAACTTGATCACCATTTAGTTTATAAACACAACAGAAATCCTAAGTATCATTGCATTACAGGCTCATGTGATCAAAGATTTTGCTGGCAAAACGCATCCTTTAGACATCTCGACGCCTACTCGGCTGACTGTATTCGTCAACTCAACAACGGCAGGCCCAAATTGCCATCTGATCCTTTAGTTGAACGGACTAAACGTTTGACAAAAAATATAATGAAAACACCCAAACTTGACAAACAAGCAAAACCATTTTATTGTTTATTATGCGAAAGGAAATTCTCAAGTGGCTACAATTTATACAATCACAAGAAAGCTATGCACAACCGAAAACTCAAGTCGGCAAGGAAGTGTGACCTATGCCCCGAATTTTTCATTGAAAAGGGAGATCTTGTTCTACATCGTCAACTTAATCATAAAATTAAATTTCGAAAATTTCCAACCTCATATAGGTGTTGTGATTGCAACAAAGACTTCAGATCACCCAAAACCTTGCGCGACCACAAGGAAACTCATCATGGGTTGAATTTGTTTGATTGCATCTATTGTAATGAAAAATTCAGTACAAAGAAAGATTTGGATTCACATAACATAATTTGTAAATCAGTTCGGATAAACCCCGAGACAATAACACTGGAAGACAGTGACACATCGCGTGAAACCTTATCTCTTACAATGAATAACGGTCATCGATCTCCAGAATACTCACCGATGGATTTACAATTAATAAGCTGTCAAAAGGAAGGTTGCGACGAACAGTTTTTAACTGAAGAAGACTTGAGCATTCACGTTTATCTTCGTCATCAACCCCGATATCCTTGTTTGAATTGTTTTGCGAAATTCGATTCTATCATTACTTTAAACGAACACGAAAGACGTCAACACGGAAAGACTAATTTTGATTGTTTGTTTTGTATACAATCTTTTGGCTCATTAACCGAATGGGAAAAACACCATAACGTATGTAAACCAACTAGAGATCCCGACACATTAAGTCTTGATGATATAAGTAACTCGTCAATTACACCATATGTCCCGACACCATCACCACCTTTAATCACAAGATTCCGAGTTAACCAAGTTCGGACACAATCAAGTGTTAATACGAATACCATTAAATGCGATCAATCCGGTTGTCCATTGATGTTTTCATCAATAAGTAAAATGGTGGAACATTTTAACACTCATAAGTTGTCGCCTATTCAGTTGCCATTTAACTCAACTGACTAAAATATTTACCTTTTTACTTGCTTATCGACATTAAACCCAGATGTAATACTGAATATTAAATGTTTGTGCCTGAATTAATGCTTTTCTTTGTTTCCACCTACCTACCCTACTAATAGATGTCGAATACCCAATGTCAGGAAATGGATGTTGCGGGCAGTGACAGCGACGGGCCATTCGATCCAAACGAGTCGATTTTTCCGACACAACATACTTTACGCAAGATACGAAGAAATATCAACAAACTTTACAGACGTGTTAAGGCAAGAGTAGAAGCCATAGAGGCATACATCGCCGAAAACCCGAATCCAACCAACTTAGAACAAACAAGGAGGATTGGAGAACTGAGAGTGCAATTACGACTACACTTACGTACAGTGGCCGAAAGTTCGGATAACATCGAGAGGCATCAACGTAGCAGACGAGAAGACCGGCCCGAAACCTGGAAACATTATGAAAAATACAGGAACCTGAGAAGGCTACAAGTCCGGAACCTGATTGAAATGGAACCAGGACTCCGATTAATATGCCCTCTTAAACCCGATCATGCCGCAATACTCCAAAATAATAAATGTTTTATTTGTTTCAAAAAATGCTGTTAGAATAACAATAAATAAGTCTTACAATTAATTAACTAATGTATTTTGTTTGTTGATCTATTTAAAATAAATGTTTTATGCAAATTAATGAATTGTGTTTGTTGTATGAATGTATGGACTCGGGTATGAAAGGTTATTAGATTGATGTTAATACAAAGAGGTTCTACCAAATATATAGAATCAGTTGTTGACAAGTTTGTTTTGAGTTAATTTTAAATTAATAGGTTAATAGTTAATGTAGACTTTGATAATCAAGGCCCGCATTGATCTTACATTTACATTAGATGTCAAACCAAACAAAACAAATTATCAACGAAATCGAAAAGAATTTTCCCGACTACCGTCAGATTAAGAGAGAAGTCACTAAAGAAAGAGAGAAAATTACTTACATTAGGAAAGAGCTATACCGACAGGTTGAAAAGGTTAAGAAGGGGAAACCAACATTTAATGTAGCTGTCACACCTCAGTTTCCTGTAATTGTGTTTCCTAAACCTATTCAATTCAGATTTTCTGAATATTGGTTAACAACACTAACTAATTATCATATACAAGCTATGGAAAGATATAACGATTGTCGATTAAAATTAGAATTCTATAAACATGAACTATCAAGAATAGCCGATTATCATGAAATCAATTTAGAATCAATAATCAGTGAATATGATAATCATTTTAGTATACCTGATAAAACAAATTGTAGTGAATGTAGAAAATCGATATTTGTTTGTCGAACTCACATTAGACCAGAAGATACTATAAGTAGGCCGGAAGTCATAGACGAAGAGACACTTTCGATGTTGCCCAACATGTCTGCTGTTGCCGTAGATGTCGAGTCAGCCGATCTTATACCCAATAACGCAAAAAAGGGAAAACCAATCGCAATACGCGTAGCATTAATGGGTGAAGTGCCAAAAAGAGATAGAAAACATTTGAAGGGGCGATCACACGTTCCCGACTACAAACTGATATATCATTCATTCTGGTCACCCCCGACGACCGGTCGCATCAACTGTTGGAAACCAATAACTGGTTATAACTTAAGAGACTTAAAAGAACATTCAGATCAGATGATGGTGAGATCAGTGGCTAGAACTAATTTTCTTAAAATAATTCAAAACAAAATGTTAGTCACCTGTAATCATGAAAGCGACCTTAAAGCTTTGGAAATAAATCAATCTGAAGTTAACTACAGGGACATACAAGACTATTATCGTCGACCAATGGACGCCGGAATACAATCAGTAAAATTGGAATGGCTAGCCAAGTACATATTGGATACAGACATTCAAAACAACAAAGCAATTAAATCTCACAGTCCTGTAACTGATGCATGCGTTACCCTCCAACTCTATAAATTAATCCCGAGTGATCACTGGGTCGACCCGACTCGACAAACTTTGGGGATTACAATTAGATGTCCTGACTCTCCTTTAATAAGATTTTACGACAACTTTGAACCAGATTATGAACCCGATTGTTAGATTAACTTTACGCTACTTTATACTTTACAGTCAATGTCTTCGACGATTATACTTTTACTGCTTTGCTTCACCTTATCCAATGTCTTGTCACGAGGACCTCCGTCCCTACCAAAATCGTGGTCGCGTAGAACATTTGGCTCAGAAGATAGGACTATAAACCTGGATAGCTATATGACAGCGGAAGATTACAAAGACAATATCTTATCTATGCATACATGGTGTTATAACGAGACAAGGCATTTTATACGAGACCCTTTTGATACGTATTTTTTAAACGTAACTGGGGCTGATCTCGACATATGGAGTTGTCCACCCACCCCTGTAGGCTGTGATGAATCCGTATACAAAACACACTGCAGGAAATGTATGGATGGTCTTGAATTGATTATATTTTTTAAGGCTTGGCGAATGTTGTTTCTCAAAGACGCTCAAATAACAGACAAGGATTTACGAGTTTATAATTTATTGGGTACAACTATAGGTACAGATCCAGCTCTGTATAAAAGTGCAGCTATATTAACCATCTCCAAAACCGAATTTGGTCCCGAACCTGAAGCCATATACTTGTTAGAAGATGACCCTAATAGATTCGATAAAACCAAAAACTTACAAAGACTTCAAAGCACTTTTTCATATGCACACACTGATGATGATTATCTCGTAGCAATGAATGATTTACCATTCGGTACCTACGATTTTGCTCGATTCCCTAACGTAGGCGTGTACGACGAGATACATAAACAACGATTTATCGAAAGTATAAGACAAAGAAAAACTTCACGAAAACTTTTAACTAAACACTTAAACCAATCATTTATTCCCGAACAATTCAATAACGAATCAACAATAATAACAACAAAGGATGAACTACTCACTTATAACCCGTCCTTTCTAAGTGAAGACTATGTTACCAAAGCAGGAATATTTGGAGTACAATTTATACGCAATGGAGTCGGATACGTCTTTGACTCAGTTTGGGATCACTTTATACGTGTCGAGCTACCGACTTTCAGACCTCAACTTATTAACACAGTTATGCCAACTGATTGTTTAGATTTCCTTGCATTACTTAATGATAACATCACTAAAAAGATTTTGACGAAAATTCGAAAGATCTGTATAAGCAGCTAAATGAAAGTTGCAACCAACTTGAAAATGAGGTTAAAAGCATAATGGAAACGACAATATTGACATTAAAGTCTGCTCATACACAATTTAAAGATAAACAATTAATAAGGGTGCAGCGATTCGAACCGATAACAATGGCGGTTGTGGGTGCTGGGGTCGCGATAGCTTCCGGAATTGCATTCTTAGCCGGGTGGAATGTGAACCAGGATTCTGATATCAGGGAATTGGAACACGATTTTAGAAAACTCAAAGGACAACTTGATCTAAACAAGAAAAACATCGAAATTTTGAGAGATAAACTAAAAGGGATAAATAATGTATTGGATGAAAGTAATAGACTTTTAAATCAGAAGTTAGAAAGTTTAAAAACTACTACGGAGAATCAACTAAGGGCTCTCTCCGACTTTGTTGAAAGAGAGATTGATTTGCTTAATGAACAGCAATATTTATTAGCTCTACTCACTCACACAAACATGTTTAAAATTTTAAAATTAAACGCACTACAACAACTATCGTTGCTTATCATGGACATGTTTCAAAACTTTGAAAACATAATGGCAGATCTAAGAAGATCGGTTCTTAGCCATCAGCTAATTCCTTGGACAAGTTTAAAACCAATACTTGATGGAATAAAAGAACACATACAATACACATATGAACTTGGAATCGACTATGATGACTACCATCTATATTACGTTTTGCCCCTCGTAACTTATCGAATTGACTTGACTGAAAATGCCTTATATGCCCACTTACAAATACCTCTTCGAAAGCCAATCAAGCCAAACAAATTTGATATGGTAGCGCTTCGCTCAACCGGGTTTCCTTGCCATCAATCTATATGCGGCAATACAACCAAAGACAACAACAATCTAGTAGTCATAGACACCCCAATCAGTCTATGGCTAATACATAATCAACGCCTACATAGAGAGACTTATAAAACTGACTTTGCGTGTAAAGCTACAGGTGCCAATGAAGTTTGTTTCACCTTTCAGTCTCACACTCTCAGAATGCCTTCTGATTGCAGCCAGGCTCTAATGGACTGGTCTGCTTCATTAATAGTTCAAGAATGCAAACTCATGCAGCGAAATATAAAAACCTACTTACCTATTGCCATAACGAGTAACAAATTTATACTGCACTCAAAAATCATACCCAATTACGTATTAATTAACAAACGCGGTTTGGACACCGAAATAATAAACAGTGGGTTCGCTGACGTCGTTACTATCCCACCATTTAATGAAGTCTTTATCCCATCACTTAAACTGACACTTATTGGACCATATGATAGGGAAATGCGTTCAGAAAGCAACGAAACCATAAATACAGTAAATCAAGAGACAATTGATGACTTTGCAAAATACGCGTCATTCACACCAGATTAGGATATTTTCTCGAAAATAAGAGGAAGGAAGCGAAACTTCCGTATCTTCGATCCAGACAGATATAAACTTCAAGTAGAATTTGATAATTCTAAACTCACTGCAATTTCAAATTATTTAATGGAATCAACCAAAGAACTGGAAGCGATGGTAATCGATATTGATGATAACTTTGTTTCACATGAAGAACACACCACATTTTACACTTATATAACTATAATCGCCGATTGCTTGAAAACCTTTGCGACTCTGATTGTGTTATTTGGAATAATGACATATACAAGACCATTTGGACGCATAGCTGGAACAGTGTTAATTGTCCACAGTCGTCGAACTGATGCGCTTTCTTTCGATAGTATAACTACATATGTTGGAAGCTTTGATATCACTATCAACTTTCTATTCGT